TATGCCTTAGAAATCAGTGATATATCCGACTGGTTAATCTCACCAATTTCATTGATATTCACTTGACAAAGTAAATGTTCAGTGGTTATTGTCAAACCTAGTTCAATTCTTTCTCTCGTTCTCTCTCTCGTTCTCTCTCTCGTTCTCTCTTATTCTCTCTCTCTCCCTCTCTCTTTTATATAGTGAATTGGAAATTCAATATATATTCTGCACTTACTGGCAGAGTAGTGCTTTTACTCTTTCATTTTGTTCACTTAAAGTATACTGTAGTTTTAGGACAATATTGAGTGGAAATCAAAAAGCTATTGTATATTTAGCAATGTTATATCTTCTTTATGAGATAGTTTCTTTTACCTTTTTCCTCTGTAACCCGGAACAGGATAGTGAGAATTAACTTATATCTCATTTGGTTTCTGCTTCCTTTATGTGCATTTTCATTATTGGTTTTGCTTTCTAAAAAAAGAAAACACGGAAAGGAATTAAATGGAAAGAAATCTTGGGAAGGAATCTTCGAATTACAGTTTACCCCCCCCCCCCCCACTCTTGCTCAGTTGAAGAGATACTCCTGAGTTAAATTACAGAAAGCCATGAGTGATTTCAGATATCATTGTAATATAATTAAAACCATTATCTTAATTTATCAGCTTCCAGAAAAGCAATGTTATTCTAGCAGGAAAAGATTCTAAATAGGGTAGTACTTGTCCTATCCCCACATCTACTTTATAATTCCATGCTGTTATTTCAGATTCTTCCCCCTCATTTAACTGAGTTGGGAGAACCATGAACTATGTTACCTCAGGTTGTATGTAAAAGTTTTGTTCTCACAAGGTGGAATTGAATCTAATTTCTCTTTAAAATACTTCAGAATGTTCTAACATATTTCCTATTTATTTTTATCTTTTGCTTTTTATTCTACAGTCATTGATTTTTGTTTGAGTAAAAATCTTGTTTGTGATGAGGATACCAGCTATCAGAGTTTGAGACTTTGTTGGGCATCCAAGAACAGCTGTGATCAGAGGAAGGGTAAGGGGATTTCATTGTATAAAATTCCAGGTCTTTTGGAGACTCTAATCCTGAAAACATTTTATATATGGACTCTGTCTTACATATTTCCAGTAAAAGTATGTACTTAATCTGCAATTATGTATTTGCATTAAGACATACATACGTGCTCTTCCTACTGGTTGTTTTAAGTTAGGGGTCCCAGAGCCTCGGGATGCGGACCAGTACTGGTCCACAGAACCAGGCTGCGGAAGCAAGGGAAGCTTCATCTGTAAATGCGCAGGATCTAGGTAGCACATAATACCATCCCCCTCCACCCTTCCTGATCCATGGAAAAATTGTCTTTTCCGAAACCAGTCCCTGATGCAAAAGAGGTTGGGGACCACTGGTTTAAGTAACCACATATGTATTTCAGAAATAAAAGCAGTGATGATTAGATGGCCAAGCCACTTTTAATGACAAAGGAATTTAACTTGACTAATTTCTGTATTCACAATGGAACAGCTTGCCCCATGAAATCATGGATGCTCCATTCCTGGGCAGCCTTGTGCATGATGGTGTAAGGATTCATTTGTTGGCCAGGAGTTGGACTAGAAAAACAGCTTCAAGTTCCCTTCCAACTCAATGATTCTATAATTCTACATTTGAAGTACAGTGATTTATGATTAAGAGCAGTGGTATTCATAAAATGTGTTAATTAAAATTATCCTGTATTAAATTAAAAAAATGGTGTCCCTTGTAACAATATATCTTAAATCATTATTTCACATCCTTTGTGTTATGGAATGTTTTGCTCATGACACGCAGGCAGAGTCAAACTAGGCATTTCCCCAATTTTTGAGAATCCTGAACCTAAGAGGTTCTCCATCATTGCACTAGACCGAAACAATCTTTTGATGATTCCAGAAGCCTGTACTGAGGCATTGAGGCTTTGATTGTGAAAAGATAACCAGTGTGTTCCAATACTGGTCCCTGCTGCCATTAATAAGTATACGTGACATTGCAGCTTTTGAATTCTAAGTGCTGAAGATTTTTCTTTAATGTAAAGGTCGAGCTGGCCGTGTATCTAAAGGATACTGCTACAGACTCGTATACAAAGACTTCTGGGCAAACTGTATACCGGAAAGCACTGTTCCTGAGATGATGGTAAGAATAACATGCACCCATTTGCTCGACTTTAGATTGGGAAGACCAGTTATATTTCTGCTGACCACCAAAAAATAGCCATTATGTTTAAGAACAATGGCAGGAAGTGATGAGAACACACTGATAAAATGTCAAAGGATGATAGAAGGGCAGTTTTACATTCTGACATTCTTAGAAACAATTGATAACTATTTAACTATTGTTAAGCCAGCAGCAAACAATTGTTACCTAAATCTGGTACATTCAATACACAACTCCGAAAGAGAAATATTTTTTTCTGACAGTTAACTTGATTCTTTTTTCTTTCTTTTTTTTAACAATTCATTTGATTCAATTTTACAACAATTTTTACAATGGCCATCATGATATTTCAGCGAATCACGTGACCATTAAACAAATCTATTCTCCTGAGTGATTTTTTTCTCCCCAGAATTCAGCTAAAAATGTTGCAAACTTGTCTTTTGACCATGGGCCACTGCAGGCAGTCATAAATCCACAGAGTAATCCACTTATAGTAACCCCATGGTGAGATAGGTGACAAATTAATTTAACTAATAAATAAATAAATGGAAGCCTGTTGTCAAGTGCCTGAAGTGTGACTTTGTTTATGTGGGTTCCACCACAAATGCGCGAACGACAAAAGCGCGCCTCACTAAACCGCGCCGACAAAACCGCAGGGCTAAAACTGCGATGTCAAAAGCGCGCCGACAAAACCGCAGGGCTAAAACTGCGATGTCAAAAGCGCGCCGACAAAACCGCAGGGCTAAAACTGCGATGTCAAAAGCGCGCCGACAAA